TTCTTTCTTTCTTTCTTTCTTCTTTTTTTTGGTGTGGGGGGGATAGAACTAGGGATCAAACCCAAGGCTTGGCACATACTAGCAAGCGCTCTGCCATTAAGGTACATTCCTGGCCCTCTTTTAAATTTTTTATTTTGGAATAAGGTCTCACTAAGTTGCCCAGGCTGGCCTAGAACTTGAGATCCTCCAGCCTCAGTCTCCTGAGTAACTGGGATTTCAGACTGTGCACTACCGTGTCTAGTTGTTATGGTTTGGACCTGGAATGTCCCCCAAAGGCTCATGTAGTGAAGGCTTGGCTCCCAATGCAGCAGTGTTCAGAGGCGGGGGCTGTGGAGAGGGCGCTAATCTCATCAGTGGACTAATCCATCGGTAGCTGAAGGGACTCTTGGGAGATAATAGAAATTGTAAGCAGTAGGGCATGGTTGGAGAAAACCAGTCACTGGGAACATGCCCTGGAAGGGTGCATCTTGTCCCAAGCTCCTTCTAACTTTGCTTCCTGGCGGCCAGGAGTTGAGAAGCTTTGCTCCAGTACACCTTTCCGCCATGAAGTCCTGCCCCACCTCAGGCCCAGGGCAGTGAAGCTGGCCAGCCATGGACAGAAATCTCGGAAACCATGCACCCAAAACAAATCTTTCCTCCTCTAAGGTTTTTTTGTTTATGTTTGTTTTTAAAGATGTTTGTCACAACAATGAAAAACTGACTAACATGCTGGACTAGGCTTGGAATGTTCCCCAAAAGTCCAAATGTTCAAGTCTGGGTTCCCAACCTGTGGAAATATTGGAAGGTGGTGGAACCTATAGGAGAGGGGACCTAATGGAAATAAGTCACTGGGGGCATGACCTGGAAGGGGATATTGGGACCCTGGCCTCTTCTTGCCTCTTTCCAGTCACCATGAGCAACTTGTTCCACCACACACTCTCCACCAGGATGTTCTGCCTCACCAAAGACCCAGAGAAAATGAGGCCAAGACTCTGGACTGAAACCATGAGTTGAAACAGAACTTTCCTCCTTTAAGTTGATCACCCAAGTGTTTTGTCACAGTAATAGGAAGCCAACTAACACAGGCCCCTCAGGTCTTCCTCATGTTTGGTCCTCCATCACAGAGCCTGGCACTCAGAGGTCCTAGCACAGAGCCTGCCTGCCTGACCAAGGGGCTGTTAGCATCATGGTGGCCAGGATGACAGGGGGTGACTCACCAGCCACATGGGCAGCAGCCTGTGATGTCCCACTCTGTGACACGAAGCAAGTGCTACAATCACTGGAGGCACCAATAATGTCCTCTCCTGGGGCAAAGAGGTCCACACAGCGGCCAAAGTTGGTCCCCAAGGTCCCCAGGGTCATTGGCTGGTCCTGGGCATTGGTGGCCCCAACTGTGATGACCTGGAAAGATGAGGAGGTGGGTAAAAGAGAAAAGAGTCAACCATGTGCCCAGCATCATTCCTGATGCCCCTGTGGATCTTTCATCCTGATGGGGAGACCCACGGTAAACAGGAAACCACCCCATGCCCTTCGGCAGCTATAAACCTCATGGGGAAATCCAGCGCAGCAAGGCGGAGACACTGTGCTGGGTTTTAGGCAATTTTGAATTCAGCACCTGGGGAAGGCTCTGCTGGGCTAGAGAAGGCCCGGGTCATACTACCAGGACTGTACCTGCACCTCCCGCCAGGCCCCACGCCAGACCATGAAGCCCCCCAAGCGGAACAAGAGTCCTTCCCTTTGGTACTACCAGCACCCAGACAGCCTGACGCATGGTGGGTGTCCTGCAAGTGCTACTCAGATGAAGGACAAGGTGCCCCCCAACACTGTCAGCTCCTCCATAGAAGAGGTGTTCACATGCCCCCCTGCCTGGAACAGGCCTGCAATAGCAACAGACACACAGCAGGGCTCAGGACGTCCCTCACGTGAGTGGCTTTGGACCTTCCATGGCTCCCAATCTCATTGGCCTTGCAAAGGCGGTCAGCCATGAAGGCTAGGGCCCGGGGCCTTGGCGGGGCATGGCCAGTGGGGGTGCTGGACAGGAGAAAGGGGAGGGCTGGCTTGTGCTTTAGGTGGAGCCCCAGGGCCCTCATAGGGTAGCCTGGGAGGGGAAGCAGGAGAAGGTGGGAGAAGACCGAGGATGCCATTCTCTCCACCCTGGGGAAGAAGAAAGGAGCCCAGACGAGGGGCCCAGGGCCTTGGGAGGAGGAAAGGGGCAGGGCATTCAGAAAACTTTCAGGCAGAAAATGGACAGGACAGGACAGGGGGTGTGGCTACATGGGGAGGGAGAGTTGGGGCACTGCTCCTTCCAGACTCTGGCACAGCAGAGGCGCAGCCCCCTCCCTGGCTTCTGCACCCAGGGGCTGACAACTTCCTCCAAAGCTGCAGCAGCTCAGCCTCCAGCAACACCCCACGTGAAACCCAGGGGCCTGCCTGTTCCCCCGCCTTCCTGGGGGGCAGCCGCATTGGCACCTACCTCTGGAGCTGAGGCTGGGGAGTAAAGGCAGGCATCGTCCCGGAAGTTGCCCGCAGCGGCCACCAGCAC